GCATGGTTCGGGTTGGATTGATTTTGCGCCCAACTCGAAATCGAAACTAAAACCAAAATCGACTTGGTCAATTTGGGTTAATTCAAACCCAAACTGACTCTATCCTAGTATTGAAATTGAACAAAACCAATGGTGTGTTTGATAGATATTATTGAAGAAATAATGTATTTTAAATAGTAATATGATGAGAAACTAGGTGCAAGCAACGTGCAATGCACGTTTGCCTAATTTATCTTTAATAGTTTTGTTTAAGAANTGTTTATATAATTGTTAAATAATTAGATGTGTGATTTTGATGTTGTGATGTAAGTTGATGAGATCGAAGAAAATAAGCAAAAGTTGACAAATTTGGAGAAATTGCTAAATTGTAAGGGATCTAAAGTTCGGGGACTAAAATGTAAATACTTAAAAGTTGTGTCAAACCTCACGATGAAGATTTGAGAGTGCTCAGAATCAATTGGATAAAGGAAGGAATCAAATTTAGTCAAAAGATGATCACAAATCAATTTCCAACTGAAAAGTTGTGCTCTGATATTTTAGTCTCATATTGAGACCTATTTTTGGCATAGAAAGTGATCGAATTGGAGAATGATATCTGAATCAAAGTTATAGTTAGATGAGTTAGCTTTCCAACGCATTTTGAATCGCCTCAATCGAACATCAGAATACAAAGTTATGATAAAAATACTGAAAGAAGATGCAACTGTCTCTTTAAAACAAGAAATTCCATTACATAATCCATTAAAACAACAAATTCCGTTAGTTTTTCCGTTAAAAACAAGAAATTCCGTTACATAACCTCTTTTAATATATAGAAGATATATGGTTAAAAAGTAAGGAAAAATTATTGATGTGTGGTTGAAAATAAGTTTTAAAATAATGTATATCAAACATGGGCCAAATCGTTTTTATTTGGTTAGCCAACTTTGATATTGGTCCGAACTAAAAAAATAAAAATTAAAAATTTGCCTACCTATTTTGGATTAAAAAAATTGTTTGCCTATACAAATATTTTATTTTATTTTGCTTGGATAGTACATGTCAATAATATATAGACGATAAATAAATAAATTATATATATATTGAAATAATATACACACACATATACACATAGATAAAATATAAATTGAAAATGGTCGATTTTTCTAAAATCGTCATACATATTCAATAGTCAAATAATTATACCAAATTGACTAGCAATGCTACATTTTGAATTTGGGGTTTATAACAAACAATTCTTCTCCTTATTTTTCATTTCTTTTGAAATTTGAAGTTTTGGTAAAAGAAGTATAGACGATAAATAAATTATTTGTATTTGTGTTTAAAAATATAAATTATAAAAAATGAAAAAAAAATTATTAGTAGGTTAGATCGGTTAATTAAGAGGTTGGTTGTTTGAACTGTAGTCAACCTAATCCAACTTTTTAATAGTTAAAATTAACCGAACTAAATCGATTTGTTGGTTCAAATCAACCCAACTCGGTTTGGGTTGGTCGATTTAGTAGGTTTTTCGATTTTTTGTCCACCGTAATCGTACGGGTGCGTTATATACATTTATTCAATTCAAGGCTTGCGCTGAGATTTATTGTACATATTTTGTACAAACCAAAAAGGCATCTTAGGATACAAAAGTCATAAATTTTAAGAAATGAGACTCTAAAAAGAGAGAAAAGTCAATAAATCAATCAAGAAACTCGGGTTTCAAGGTTTTTATAAGAAGGCGAATTCTTGGTGCAAGATTTTCATCTTTTCCAATTTTTCCTTAAAATTCAGTTATATATTTTAACTTTCTTTTGTACTTTTCTTCTCACATGATGTGTAATTAAGTAATTATGATGAGAGGTTGTAAATTAGTTTTGAACCTTAATTTTAAGTTAAAAGTTTTACGTTTTCAATTGATGTTGTAAATTTTTTTTACTTTTATTCTTTATATTTTGGATTAATTAGTCACCAATTAATTAATTTTGTGAGCAATAATTACGTCGAGAGACGGATTATTATTATTTTTAAAATACGTAGTAAAAGCCTGCAATTTGAATAAAAATATAGATACACTTTATGGTAGTCTCAATCGTTAGATGAATTCTTTGGTAATTGAATTCTTCTTATATTCGGATCAAATAGAGATATGGTGGGTTGCCTATTGCGTAGGGTGGGTTGACTTAATTGAGAAGGGTTCCATTTTGTTTCTTTCATTCGAAAACAATGGCTATTTTGACAAATGGCATGCCAATATTGAAGTCAAGAGTGTGGTTTTTTGCTGAAATGTCCATTTCGTCCTTCTATTTTTAGTGGTGCACGGAAACATTTTGGTTGTGAAAGATAAAATATGACAACTT